ATAGGTACAGCATCTAGTGTAGAACCTTAGGGTGGACTACTTAAATAGGCAACCAAAAGTTGCATGTGTGACTAGCTATACTCTTATCTCTGTAAAAATAGTTGTAATAGCTAACCCAATATAAAATCAATAAAGTATTGCCACAAGTATAGTCTTAGCAAAAAAAAAAATATACTTATAGGCAAAAAAAGTTTTTGCAAGATATTAAATATAGTACTAATAAAATAGTTAAGATATAGAAGCCTATTAGTTAGGTTATAAAGTTGAAATTAGAAAAGGCAATTTTATTATACAATTTAGAAATATTGCTACTTTTTCATCTTTTTTTCTATAATAGGAAAAAGTAATTATACAAGATTTATTGTTTAGTTTTTATCTTATATTGAGCAAGATTTTAAGTTTTAAATACTACCTAGACAACTATATTAGTAAACATTATATATAAAAATCATTTTATAAAGTTTGATGAGACATTAAAAAGATTTAGTGTCTAATTTATTAAACAAAACATTAGTGACAAGCAACTAACAAATAAGAAACTAAAATTGCAAATATCATCTATTTAAGCAGAAAGAAAAAGATTAGAGTTACTAATTTCTAAATATATTAGTGATAAACTTTATATTAAAGAGAAAAAAACCATAAAATTTAAAAAAGATTTTTTTTGGAAACTTATATCCAATTTAGTAAATGTATTTTCTTAGCCTGATTTATCTTTATATGAATTTTTAGTTGATTTTTAGTATAGATAGGCAAATATAATTGTTATATAATTATAATATATATAAATTAACTATTTTAAATCAATTTAAATAAATTTACAAATAGTTAGAGTTAGAGTTATAATATAAATTGGCCTAAATTAGATGGGTTTTATATATTATAATTTTGTAATAATTTATATATACCCACTTATAATAAAGAAAATCTGAACTTTTTTTATATACTAAAAAAATTAATAAAGCTAGTTTTTAGTATCTATTTTCATACTATAATTTGGGTATTAATTACCTTAATATAATTTTAAAACAGGATATGTATAAAACAAAATTTAAAATATAAAAAGTCATTAAGCTTGTAATATAATATTATACAAATAGCAAAATTTATAAACAATAAACAATTCTAAAATTAAACAACAAACTAAAACCAAGCAACCTCTTAAAATTAATATTAATAATAAACAAAATACTGTAAAACTATCATATCACAAGTGTTAAACTACTGAAAAAGAAAAAAAATACTCAATAATATTCTTTTTGATAAAGTTTTTCTAACAATAAACTTTTAGAAATTCTTTTACAACTTCAAACTAAATCTATTGAATAAACAAAATCATATATCAAAATTTATTAGCAAAATAATCAGTTAAAAAAAATGAAAAATAATTTTTTAACTTTTTGTAATATTAATTAAACTATTAATTACAATTAAATTTAATAATTTTAAATTTAATTATAATTAAACTATTAGATTTAATATTTTTTTATATCATTTATACTATATTATATATATAATAAATAAAGATATTATTATTATAATCATTAAACTTTCAAAAAAAGCTAATAATGCTTATAATTTTTTTTAAAAAAATAAATCTTTTACATAATATGTTATTGTTAAAAACTTAAAAATCTTATAATACTGTTAATACATTAATATTTCTAATAATGTTCTATTTATTAATATGTTTTTTTAAAATTATTTTTAATTTGTAATTGATTAAATTTAAATTCAAATATTTAGTTTTTTAAAAGTTGTATTTATTCAATTGCTATTTACTAATTCTGTTTAAAATTACTCTATTCAAACTCTTATTAAGCAATTAATAAAGTGCTTCAAATAAATATAACAGATGTTTGTATAATCAAATATAATTTTAAAAAATTAGATTAAATTTAGATATATATCAATATTAAAATAATAAATAAATCATGATTATAAATCTTTACTAAGAGTATAGGTCTAATTCAGATTGTATTTATGACAAAATAAAAGCATTATTATGTGAATAAGTTGTAAAAACACTTGTAAAAAATATTTGTTTTTCTGTTATTTATAAAATTTACTTTATTTAATTTAATTTCTATTAAGAAACCAATACAGGCCTACATCTTTTATGATTACATTTATTTTGTTGAATCTGAATTATGTAAAACAAATAGTTAACTATAAGTTAAACAGATCTTAAAGCAAATATAAGATATATTGTTAAGTAGATTAAAAAAATTCAATTTATATCAAATAATTTTTTTTTATATAAAAAATAAAAAATATAAGAAGACTACTAATTAAGAAATATAGTGAATCTATTTAATTATATTGGTAATTTTTGACAGTTTGTTTATAAATCATTAAATATCAAATTCAAATATTAACAACCTAATTTAATAATTTTTTATTTTGTTTTTAGAAAAAAAATGTTAAAAATAGTTAAAAATATTAAATAAGTAATAAATAATCTTTATTCTCTAGTAATAAGAAATATGAAATGTTATTTGTGACTAATACATTTTATATATTTTGACACTTTTGCAATAATCAATAATGATAATAATTATTTTCATTATCAATAGAAATCAAATTTTGCAACTAATCAAAATTTAAATTTAGTTTTGTTAATGATTTTAAACATAATTTTCAAAAAAAGATATTTCAAAGGTTTTTGACCTAAGAGTACAAAAAAAATAGATATAATTAGAGTACGAAAGAGTAAAAAGTTTTTATTATAAGTAAGGATGACTAGTTAAATTGTAAAATATGAATATTAGATTAGGAGAAAAGTTTGTCTTTTTTAAACATATAGATCATCGAATGTGCTGCAGCTTGCAGATCTCTTAATTAAATCATTACTCCTAAAATTTTCAGACAACCGTTACCGTTACTGTTTGATTAATGAATTAAACAATAAAAATCAAGTGCCTGCTTCTTAGTTGATTTTTTATATTTCGACTAGTGTAATCTAATTCCGTATAATTTTTTAAGATTCGCCAAAAAACTAGAGAAAAAACATAGTAAACCATAAGGAAATTTATTATTGTTTTTTGCCTTTTTTTTTAGAATCCAGAGCTTATCCAAGGATACAAGATTTTTTTTTTTACTAACTATGCCTCTCTTCTACTTTGTAGAGGAGAGAATTCGTGGTTAAATCATTAAAATCGGCTTGGTAGATCACGAGATATGAATGTTTTTATCTTCACGACTATATGTTTACTTCTTTATTTATACAATTAAGTAACATATAGTAGTGAAGACAAAAACGTTCATTTCTCGTGATTCACCGGGTGGATTTTAATGATTTATCCACTATTACGAAAGAAATTTTCTCCTCTACAACTTTTATTATAAGTAGAAGAGAGGTATAATTAATAAAAAAAAAATTCATGCATCCTTGGAAAACTCTAGATTCTAAAAAAGAGCAAAAAACACAGTAAACATATCTCTACGTACGGTTTACTATGATTTTTCACTTGCGAATCATGAATTAAATAACAATTTGATCTATTATAATTTTAGTGATGTTCGATAATTCTTGAGTGGCTTTATCGTTATCAATTTTAAATGGTTCATTAATTATGATCGAAAATTTTGCAATGCAAAAATAATAAGGAATATCGACTGTTCTTGTTGCCTACTTATGTATTTTATAAGGATAATAATTTAATGTATCACTGAAAAGAATAATCAATAATGTAGTATGTTAATGCATTGATGACTTTAATGATTATAAAGTTTTGATAAATTCTCGACACATTTGATCCATTGATTAAGGCACTTGAGAAAACGTCATTATAACTTATACTGTATCTAGAGAATATTCATTATATCAATTTGAAATTAATAATATTCTCTATGTACTAACAAAATTGGGGTAGAATCACAATAGGAACGTTAATTTATTCAACTAATAAAATATGTATAACCACGCTTCTTTCATTCGCAAATTTCATTTCAATAATTTAGCACAAGAAAAAAAATTTTATTTCAGTAATAAAAATTATATAAATAAAGGAAATATAGAACCTTCCATCTTCGATAGTACATGAAAATTATAACTTAAATATTATAACATTTCTTGGCGTGATTAAATTATTCATTCTATGTATTTTTTAACATGCTAATCTTGTTAATTAATTTTGAATTAGCAAAATTTTTTTGATTTAAAAAAAAAAAAAAAAATTTCTGAATGGTACTGTTACTTATTTTTTTTTATTTATTTTTAAATTTAAGTAAATTTGGTCTTTTACGCCTACAGACTTCCACCTTGTAAACTACTTTCTCTTTGGACGCGACTGATGTACGCACGAGATACGATATTCCAAGCATCCATATAACGATCCATGCATTTGGCAATACAAGTCTATTAAAAAAACAAGATTACAATAAATATAAAGTTCAAAACATAACAATAAAATTTAGAAGATAAATAAATAAGTAAATACTTGTTCACTACTTTCTAACTTATATCCTGGTTTCGTGATACATTTTGAGAAACATTTTTCATTAATTTTCTGTTTAGCAAAGATCAAATCGACAAATAAAAAATAAATGATCGATCATTAAATTACTCTTATATATTGACATTCACGAAAGTATATAAAGAAAATGCTGTGCCTGAAATAACCAATAATAAGCTTCAATTATATGTCGCGTACGTTAATGAGTTCTTGAGCATTGACAAGTGCTAATTCATTTCTAACTTGATCCATTACTGCCTGTTTTCGGTTTTCCCTATTGCAAGACAATGTCACCCAGTTTATTAGAACAAACGTCTTTTTTTCTTCTCAACTATAATTACTCTGTAACCCTGAAATTATACATACTGACTCTCAGTAGGCATATTAAAATCACTAGAGTAGCTGCTCATTTTATCAATATTTAACGTTGGTAAAAGAGATAATGTTGATTTTGCGATTTTGAAATCGTTATCGGCGATTTTTTTTCACATCTTTTTATGCTACACAAATCGCAGATCGCATCAAAATTGACATCACATGCTGATTAGCCAATCACAGTTGTTAAAAAATTTTTTGTACGCGTTTAAAAAATCGCGCAACTTTATCCAAGACATAAGAAAGTAAAAATATCTTTATATACATTTACTAATTTTTTATGTAATTTTTAGATTGAGAAACGTGCTACTTATATAGTTGAGTATATTTTCTAGAAAGTAAATATATACTACTAAAAATAATAATCGAATTATAAATGTTAAATTTGGGTTTTAAAATTAGATTTAGTTTTGAATATAGAAGCGAAATAAGGCTTTGGTGAGTTTTTTTCTCATTTAGTTTCTCTTGTTGAATGCACGACGGGTGTAAGTTACGCTGCGGTTGAGTGAGCCACGTCAGTGTGAGCCTGTCTACGGTGGAATCGCCCGTGTAGACCTGTTTGTACGTTCTTGAGGCCAAGGGGATCAAGAATGTGAGCATGATGAAGACATAAGATACTAATATTTTTTTTTTTTTTTTTTTTTTTTTTTAGGAAAAATCTGATTATGATGTGACAAAAGAATTTAAAGACAGTTATTCAAGAAATTTTATTATCAATCTTGATGTTAATGAACACGTTAATTTTGTAAATAAAATTAATTGGTAGATCGCAATTTAACGTCATTGTTAACGTTTAGGGTATAGATTTCATAGTAAAGATCGGTGATGTATAATGTTGGAAATGCCGATAGTTTCTGATATAGTTATGAAAGAGAAAATGCGATTTACTAAGCTATAATAATTCTACCACTATTAGAACCGGAATTACTCTATAAGGTTTACTGGCATAAAAAAAGCTTTTTATTGGAAGTCAACCCTATAGAAAGATTATGTTAACTCCAGCAATTTCCACTATTAAATTTAATTACAGCGATTTACATCTCAAATTTGTTAACTGTCTAGAAGTTTATCCAAATTGAAATTGAATACTAGATAGCAAAATTAATTTAAATTACTAGTATAAAGCGTTAGTATTGTATTTGGAACAATTTTTTTTGTGAATAACCTTAACTATATGTTAAACACAAAAAAAAAAAAAAACGTAATAATACGTAGAACTTTATATAAAAATTAAATAAAGTGTCAAATTCTGGTTGTTTTATAATTTACACGTGACAATAATTAATAGTGCACAATCTGATCAAGTAGGAACACTTTTTATAACATTATTTAATGGGAAACTAAATTACAATATAAAAGATAATCATTTAATCAATTTATTTAGATAGTACATAGTGAACGCATGACTAGAAATTGTAATAAGTACAAAGGATAGCAAAAAAAATACATTATTCCCACTGCATAAATGAGTCGATCACTTTATCAATATTCCCATCAAAGGCAAGTAAAAGATTGTAAGTCGTTTCGGTATCGGTAAAACCCTAAATACATTAATAAATAACATTATAAATTAATAAATTACATATAAATTAATAAATTACATTATAAATTAATAAATTGCATTATAAATTAATAAATTAAATTATAAATTTGTAAATTTAAACAAACATGAACTTTAAACTTACCATTTCGGCTAATTTAGAAATTTCTTGTTGGTACTTTAATTCTTCTGTCGGTTTATCTTTAAAATCATCATGAATGCTGGTGTTATCTCCACAAGAAGACATAACAAGTGAATTAGTGATCGAGGATCTCACCTCAGAATTTATAAAACTATTTTCCATCTCATCATCATCAGAATCTTTATCGACAACAATAAAATCTTGGGAAGAATCAGAAATGATAGATGAAGTATCTGATTCATCATCATCAGAATTAAAAAGTTCAGAATTTAATTCCGAAATACTTTCAATATCTACGATCCCGCCTTGTAATTCAGTAGTGGTAGGTTTCACGAAATTTTGGAGTGGAACATTGTCATTATTATCTTCAGCAGTAGAAACTGGAGATTGAATAGAACCGGAAGTAGATTGGGCTAATTTTTGATCATAATTCAAAACCGGGAAAATCATTGAGGAAGACATGCTCGATGATTGATCGTCGGCTTCAACGATAATTTCACACCAAATCTTATGTCCAAATACATTTCCTTCATCATCAGTCAAACTCCAATATCTAAGATTATGTTAATAATAATAATCAATTAATTAGAACAAAAATATATATATATATATATGATAACAAAATAAACGTGTGAAATTTACGAGATGTATTTTCCAGGCTCAGTAGGAGCTTGAAGGTCTACAGATACATAAACGCTTTTGCCAGGTTCTAATGAACCAACAACGGAACCAAAATCACCCAATTGATCAGATCGTAATGCATCATTAAACATGCGTTGGCCACCAACGAATCGTAATGTAGTATTTTCAGGCCACTAAATAAATAAATTATAAATATAAAATGGAACAAATGATAAATAAAAAATTTTCGATAAATTATAAAATAAAACATATTATATAATTTAAATCATTAAAAGCTTACAGCAACGTCACCATCATTAGACATGATCCACATCTTGCGGAATTGAACCTGAGGGACTAAAATAGTGCCATCAGGAACGTTAGCATCACTAATAAATTTGGCACTTAGCCTTTTTTCAGTGAGGATTTCTACAGAAACATCGCAAACTTCATCCTGAGAGATAATGGTTGTTACATTTGATAAAGGAGAAGAAGGAGTAACTTGAGTAGTATGAGTTTGAATTGTTTCTTTTTCAAGCTTTTCAGGAGACGAGGATGAAATAATTGGTTTAGCCCCTAGAGTATAGTTATACAAATCGATTGGAGCACGGCTGATTATTACCTTTTCACTACTGAATAAATATATTTAATAAGAGATATGTTAATTTATCATTAAATAATAAGCAGTAAATATAAAATTATGGCATAAAAAAAAAAATCTTACGTAGAATCATCACTACTAATGGGACTAATGGGACTGATTAAAGGAATGAAAGAATTTGAGCTCGATGCATCAGAGTTAGCATTGACCAAAGAAGTTTGTCTCGGTACAGATTCCATCTCTTTATGAACATTATTTGATTGAGAAGACTGTTTACAATCTCTAGAACGGTAGGTTTTTTGATCAACTTTCGAATAAAAATCATGTAATAATGGTTTATCTGTTCGAAGTCTTTGTGACACGGGTTTTTTGATCTTTATGAAAACGTGATTTTCATCATGCTTGCTGATGGGATTCGCTTCACAATTTCCACACAAATCAAAGTCAAGACAATTGCCACACTAATAAAAGTGAAGTTTATCAGAATATTTGGACATTATATAGCATTACAGATAGTATTAAACAAAATTAAAAAATTTTAATACCTTATATCTAACACCATTGATAGCTTTCCTACAACCGTCACATCTAATTCCAGGGTGGAACGCAGAATCTATGAGAATAGTAAGAGAATAAATAGGAAAATTTATTGTCAATGAAAACTCAAAACTATTATAATAATATAATAATTATTACAGATAATAAATTAACCATAACAATACCTGGAATCTTAATTTCAGGATCACCGGCTCTATGAATTTTCATAAAAGTGTGACCCGGATGTTGGGTTGGGGCAAGGGCTAATAAGGAGAAAAAAAAAAGAGAGAGAGATAAGGGTAAATAATTATTATAGATAATACTAATAAACCGTAAAATGATTATTAATATTAAAAAGTAACATTTGCTTTTACGTACCAATACAGTTGTTACACAAATCAAAATCTGGACAATTGATGCATTTATGACGAAGGCCTACGATTACAGACTCACAATAGTCACAGGTGGCAGAATGATAGTTGTTACCTAATTAATTAAAGAAAAATACAAAGTTATAAAAAAAAGAAAAAATTTAAATAATAATTAAATTACAAATTATAAACTTACCAGTTCTACTAAGACTTGCGGACGTACGAGGATGACGATTTCGATTTCTTGCAGGGTATGGAATAGGTACGAAATTTTGATGTTCATGTACACTTGGAGATTGGTTTTTGCAAGTTTGACAGAGATCATAATTTAAACAGTCATTGCATTTCCAGCGCGTTCCACGAATAATTGCTTTACACCAGTCACACATAACATCATCATGAACAGCGGGACCTATTGCATAATCATTAATAAAACGTAAATAACGTAAATAAAATATTAAAAGGAGAATATCAAATTATTACCTGAAGATGCTCGTGACATTGGTGTTTGTACTTGACGGGTTTCACCAATCTTTGATGAATTTGATGAGTTGGTAGTATCATTGGTAACTTGAGCGGACTCGATAATAACATTTGAAGATTGGAATTGGGTGGATCTTTTCAAACTTAGATCTAATGAATCCCTTACAAACTCTTTTTCAAAAGTATTGCTAACTTGAGTAACAATGTTCTGTACAATGTCTTGTATATTTTTGATTCCCGGATTTAGTACACTTTCGAACAGATATTCATGGAAATCATTGTAGCTTGCATTTGACTCGTTGGAGGTTGGTACTTTGTCTTGAAGGAACAAAAAACCGAAAATGAGACCTCCAACGATAAGACATGTAATAAAACTACAATGGACTTAAATCTAAAACATACCTGGATCAGTATCGGAAGAACTATGATCAGGAAGACTAGGAAGCTCCTTATTGATAAAAGGGTGAGGTTTTACTTCTTCCAAAGTCAACCAGATAACAAGACGAGGACTGTCCTTAGAAAGGGACTTATTATGTTCTATGGCTTCTCGCAAGTCATGATCATTATCAATAATAATTACGTCTTCGTCCTCATCCGTATAACGAATTTTAAAGTTATTGGTTTTGTGAATTTGAGATAACTATGTAGACATAAAGAACAATTGAGATTTATGTAAGGGAACAGTGAACCTTTATGATCCCATAAGAATAACATTGCAAAATAAACCTTTCACAGGTTTACAATACCTTTGAGTGTAAAGCTTGATAAGAAACGTCAGCTATCTTTGGAAAGGTGAGGCGACGCAGTACTGCGGGCTCGTTAGAGCAAGTCACCTTAAAGATAACCGGAGTATTGGAATCCATTGCAAAGTTATATGTATAGTTGGTTGTTTTTTGATATTTTTTTTTTTTAGTTTTCTTAGTAAAAATATATATACAAAAGAGAAAGAAAAATAAAGCAGAAAACAAATAAAGATAATAGAAATAAATAACGCAAGAGAAGACCCAGAATAGTGAAAGAGAAAATCAGTTATAAAATGATAGCTTTTATAAAGAAAATTTAGTTTAGAGAGTACAATTGCCAATACTTCCAAAAGAAGTATTCAAAGGAACAATTAGCCAAGTAATCGAGGCTTATATTGGCCACGTACTTACATACGTAGACATATACGTAAGTACCTAGCTCACATGTTAATTTGATGACGAATAGTTTGCGTTTTAGTTTATTCTCGAATACTAACGTTAATGTTAATTTTGATGAATAATCTGAATACAAGGAATTTAACATCCGTGATGTTACAGATCCCTGATAACTACGTATAACCATAACTATAACTATATATAACTGTATAACGATAAATCAACTGATACTGATTACACACTAATATATTGATAAAGCCTGTTATATTAAAGAAAGGTAACAAAAATGTTTCGAGTGTCGAGTGTGAGTGTGCAGGTCATCATATTCACGTGATTAAAGAAAATTAGATCATATTTAAACTTTATCGTTATAATATTTTATAACACGTTTTTAGTTTTTCTTCAGACAAAAATGATAAAATCCAAAAGACAAATCGCGTTTAAGAAGTCAGTTACTAGCCCAGCGATTGTAAAAAAAAAATAGTAAAAATTCGGCAGTAATAAAACCTAGACTGCCATTTTTCGTCTTTTTATTTTTAACTTCTTCGGCCGTATACAAAATTTTGCAATTCCGGTTGGTTGATTTACACAAAAAAGTCACGTGGGTACATGGCTTTAGACGACCCCAATTTTTAGGTACTATTATTTTAATATACAGAAATATTTTCGGCATACTAAATTATTTACCAATTTTGATTATCAAAAATCATTTTCGCCATTTAAAATATACGTCAAGACGTCAAGAGCAAAATATTTTCGACACCCATGTCTACTACCAAGTTCAAAAATCTAAGTCAAGAAGACACTGAATGCCTTAGATATGAAAGTGAACGTCGTCTTAAAGCGGCCTGGGCTAATATAATCAAACGATATCAAAACTTGTCTAACAACGAGACGGACGAGATCGATTTAAGATCTCAAACTGTTGTTATTGACCGAGGGGTCATTCAAAACTACAACGAGCATAAACTTGGAACGGCGTTCGGAATGCACTTTTCAAACGCGCCTATAGAAGACGCAGACGACGATACTGTTTGGCTATTAGATTCCTCAGCTAAAAACAAAGTTAAAAATGAGAATAACAATGAGATTACGAATAAATCAAATAATAATTCACTAGACGTCAAAGACGAAAATACTTCTGATCTTGATAAGAATGTAAAAACATCACCTAATCCTGTTAATAATGTTGATACACAAGTGAACGTTCAGAGACGACTCCAAGTATATTCTATGTCAAAGTCGCCTCCTCCAGTCCATACAACGAAAATAAGTTCACAAGTGAGACGACTTCAACTATATTCCACGGTCGAATCAGGATCCGAAAGTTCCGATGAAGAATGGTCAAATGTTACACGAGAATGCGCTCAATATTGGCTGGGTAAGCTTCATTTGTAACTATTTTTGGCTCTCTTGCTAAAAAAAAAACTGATAGAAATTGTAATCATGCATGCAATAGATTGAATTATAACATCACTACATAAGTTTGGGTTTTGAAACCGGAATTTCTACTTAATTTGGGTTCATAACTAAAAACCCGGATTCATCCCGTTTCACCAACAGTTATTTCGCCGACTTTTAATTCTAACCTTAAATCAGGCTAACCCTATCTATAAATCGGGCAAACCTTAACTGTCGGGAAAAATGGTTGTCGGGAAAATGAGATCCACCGCTAAAACCCAAATATATGTCCCATTTCCGATCAATAATGTCAAATTCAAAAAACCAATCAAATTTGTTAAATTAATGTTAATAAATACAACGTATGCGCATTTAATATCAAACTAACCAGGGACGGATTTCATAAACAGAGGTCAGCGTTAAGGTTGAATTGTTATTCATATAATACAAAAAGCGGATTATTATAAACCCTTTATAATACAGTATAGGTTTTTGGTAATAAGTTTTATTTAACGGTCTTTCCTGGGTTAAATTAAATGAACAATCAAAAAAAGAATTACGACGTTTTTTTTAATATTCTGACAATAAATTTAGAGACGTTAATTTGCTCAAGCAATTTGGAGCATACATATCTACTTTGATAATAAAACCGTACGTATAATGGAGTTCGGAGAACGGTATGTGTATGAATTTACTTATTCTCGTGAGTAATACAAACCCAAAAAAGGAACTTAGTATAAAAATAAACTCCGTATATGTATATATATGTTGTGCTAAACAAGAATAGCACTCAGGTGTTGCGTACTATTTATAGAAGGGTATTACGGAGAGTTGTAGGAATTTTTACAGGAGGATCCGGGTCGAATCCATCGGATTTAGGCCGGCATTTGGCAATAATCGATATAACAACCTCAATAAACCGATTCCGCAGAGATTTTTTTTAGCTGAAAACTTTGAAACTTTAATTACAAAAATACCTTAACATAATGAATTGTAATTATAAAATCTTATTATAATGTAGAATGAAAATTTTCTTTTTATTTAAAAATTTTGCGTCTGATAATGAAATTTGGGGTCGTGATTAGAAAATATAAGCACTGCTAAAATTCGCCTATACTCCAATTATCAATTCTAACCCTAAACACCAACTCAACCATACAAACAAAGCGAGAAAAAATATCCCAAACTTAAAAATTCATATCAAAATAGGTCCAAATTTCAGCATCAACCGTGACAATAAATTTTTTCTTCTTTTAATAGTCTTGTCTTTTTCTTTATTAAGACTTTATTAACGTAGGTTTTCAAGTACTCATTATATACATCAATTACAAAAAGACTAACAGTATTCAAAAAAATAGTATACTTATATTTGATCTGTTATATCAGTATATTTTTTTGTTCGGCGATTTTTTAATTTGTTGAATATTTGTACTTTTGGGATTAATATAGAGTATCTGGTAATTATATCAAAATTTTATCTTGCAATAGAATATTGTTAATTTGACAGTATCTTTTTTCATAAAGAAAAAAAAATAAAATAATAATATAAAAATATATTTTAAAAAAATCATTCGGCTAAATTTATGAGAAATTCCAAGAATTATGATAATGGCAGTAACTAATTTTGCCCAAGATCACCAAAAGTTTTTTACTAATAAAGGGTTGGGATAACTTACCGTTACCTGACACTGTAACTTATATTGTAACTTAAAATGTGTTACATGTTCTTAATGCAAGTTACAAATACATAGCACTAGGCCTCACCTTAACACCAAAAAAAAAACAAATACATAGCACTAATGCTAGCCCGAATTATAAAAAGTTGGCCGGCATTAAGGCAAGATATTTTTAGTAGAACTATAAGAAATGAGTTATAATAAGGCTAGTTTTTACATATATATATGAGATGAGGTTATACTAAGTAAATCAATGAAAATTGCTCGGGTCAAGGTACATATATTCTAAAAGTTAGTATGAAAAAAAGAATTTTTTTTGTACAAATATAAAGTGCAAAAAGATTAAAGTTATTTAATTTATATTAGAATTTTAAAATGTATGTGTTTTAACTTTTCGAATAACTTTATTTTAATATATATAGTGTGACAAATCAATATTATAATTCTACTAATGTTTAGCATAGATTCTCATAATGAAAAATTAAATTAAATTTTAACTTAATGCATAATGTATATACTGTTTATTATCAGAAAAATTTTTATAAAAAACTTTTAGTACAGTAAATTTTGCAAATTTCTAAAATAAATAAAAAATCTTTTTGTTATTTTTAGATGTAGTCTAGAAATGAATTATTTTTTTTAAAAAAAGATAAATTATATATATTACATTCTAAAAATGAAACTTATATTAATTAAAATAAATTATATAAGTTATTTAACTTTAGTTATAGTTCAATTAATAAGTAAAGCTATTTAGTTAATAATTTTAGTCAGAAATAATTAACTTATATTGTTAAATATCAATTTAAATCTGATAAATCCATTCTGAAAATTTGGTATACAGTACAATTTATGCAATATGTAAATTAATATGTAATTGAATAAATTTTTATTACTATATTTAGTATCAAAACAATAAATATTTTTTAAAAAAAGATTTAATAATTATTTTTTTAATAATTTTATTATTAAAATTTTTTTCTTTTATTTATTTAATTTTTTTATTACAACAACAAATCTTTTTATATTCTAAATTAAGCAGATGCAATATTTCTTGAATTAGTTTTTAGAAATAAACCAAATATAAACATAGGTTATTTAGTCTATTTAACAATTCATTATAAAAAATAAATAATCTAAAAAATAGCTTCAAAGAGCAATAGTTTTTATATTTATTTTTTTTAAAAAAAAATTTTTATTTTATAAAAACTTCTTGAACCTTATCTCTAAACAATTATTTAAATATCTTTAAAATAATATTATTTAAATTATTTAAAATACAAGATAGCTAAAGTAATAAAAATTGCTAATAACAGTGTCTTTTATTGGTAGTTTCTTTTAACTAAATATACAATATACTGAATTTTAAATTTTAAAACAACTTTCTTAAATAATTTGTATTTATTAATTAGAATTTTGAATAATATTCTATGTTATTAAACAATATTATATATTATTTATTGTAATATTCTATGTTATTGAATAATAATAATATATTATTTATTATATACATTCTATTTAAAATATAACTTCAGGTTGTTATAACCTAGTTATTTAGAATATACTTTTATATAATAACTAAAATAAATAAATTAATTTTTTTAGCTAAAACTAAACTATTTTATTTTATTTAGTTTATAAAATAATTTAGATGAATTTGAACATTTTTTTATTGTTAATTTTTTTTAGTTTTTTAATTTATTAATACCAATAAGTATATTTTTTTTTACTTTTGGCAATTACAATAGTCATCAGTTAGAAGTTTTATTTATAATAATTTAGTACAAACAATATACAATGATAATTTATCTAGATTTTGTACCATTATTATATAGTTACTTTAATTGGCATCTATAAGTAATCTATTGCACCAGACTTGCTAAAGTCTAAATCAAGCTTATCTGTTTGCTGCTCTACAATTAAACAATATCAATTTTATATTATTTATTGATAAGAAGATAAAAAACTTCTTGTTGAGAGAAGAATATATTAAAAAATATATATATAAGAGAGAAACATAAAAAAACTAAATATCAAAGAAAGAAAATGCTAACACAAAGTTAACCAAATAGTTACAAATTGTAAAGATTATATTAGCCTACTATAAATTATATATTACTAAATACAGTAATCTTTATTTTATTACTATTTAATTAATATATTTAATATTAAAACTTATATTCTAAGAAAACAATTCAACTAAAACTAAACTAGCAGAGAATTTTCTATATGCTAGATGCTTTAATTTCTTGTTACTGAATCCATTTTTATATATAATTTATTATACTTTTTATCAGATTTTACACTTTTATACTTGTCATATTTTTGACTAATCAACTTATTTTTTGTCAAAAATCTTTAATTTCATTTTATTGTTATGTTTTTTTCTAAGGCATATACTTATACTTTATTTATAATACAGATCTTTTCAAAATAAAACTGATAAATAATCTTAATTTGAAAAGATCAACAATACTGATTTTATTAAAAATAAATCAGATTGCTTACTTTTTGATAAAAATTTTTTAAAAAAAAGTAATATAGAAATTTTTTAGAATACTAACTGTAATGATTATAAAAATTTACATTATATAGAATAGCATATCTAACTAGACTTTTATCTTTACTATTGCTCAAATATAGCTTAACAAACATTTTCTTAGTTATAGTCAAAATTATTTTTTTAATAACTTCATAGACTTCTATTAGAGAGCCAAATCTACAAAGAGCTGTTTTTTTTAGCTTTTTTTCATATTGCTCATATGCAATCTGAAACTTTAAACTTAGATGCTATACAGTAAAGTTTTGTTAAATATAAACATACTAACTATATAATATTTATAGATCAGTATATATAAAAAAAGTTGGTACAGAGAATCATTAAAAAGAGTTGTTAAATAATTTGAATAAGCATTTTTTAATATTTTTTTAATATTATTTTTTATAGTTATTATTTGCTATTTTATTAGTTAAATATTATTATAAAAGTTTTTATTATTTAAGTTATTATTATTAAAATTACTATTATGTAAATTAAAAGTTTTTGTTGTTTTAAAAATATTGATAGACTTTTATTATTTTAGTATTATTAGTAAACTTTTGTTATTTTAATAATATTAATAACTTTTATTATTTTAGTAATGTTAATAAACTTTTATTATTTTAGTATTATTGGTTAAGATTTTAGACTTTCATATTCTTAATATTTTTATTAAATACAACTTAACTATTTTAGTTATTCAGTTTATAAAACATTTATATACTTGGTTTATACAAAAAAATAATAATTCTAATATAATGATTAGGTTGTCATTTTTTAAA